ATCTTCCTACTTTCTTTTTTGCTGCACTTGGGCTCTCCGCATGTCTCCTTCTTCATCTGCATACACTCCGTGCTGCTGCTGCTGCAGCTGCAGCATCACATGCTCTCCTGCTGCTTTAGCTTCTGGTGTAACGTCTACGAAGAAGGAGGCTTCTGGGTTGCTGCTGGTGGAGTCTAAAGAAGCAGCAGCAGCAGCAGCTGCTGCTGCTGCTGCTGTTGCTGCTGCTGCCTTCGGCTCAACCCCCATTTGCCTTGCTATCTTCTGCAACCGACGTTTGCTAACGCGCTGTCTCCCTGCTGAAGTGTCTCCTTGAGCCTCTGCTGCTGCCAGTGCCTGCAGCACGTTGCTGCTGCTGCTGCTGCTTCTTCTTCTTCTGCTGCTGCTGCTGCTGGTTGTTGTTGTTGCTGATGTTGTTGTTTGTGCTTCCTCCTGTTGAAGTGTCTCCTCGTCTGATTCTGAGATGTCTCCGTCTGTCTCCTCCGTTGAATCTTCTTCTAAATCAGAATCTGCTGCTGCTGCTGCAGCAGCAGTAGCAGCAGGTGCAGCAACAGCACTGAGGTGGGTGGCTGCCTCTCGAGCAGCAGCAGCAGCAAGATTTTCTTTTTCTTTTTGTTTGCTGCTGATGCCTTCAACTGCAGCAGCACTAAGCACACTCCCATGTACACCTACTTTCGGCCTGAAGCGTTTCATTGCCTGCAGCAGCTCTAGCGGTGGTGACTCTTGCTGCTGCTGCTGCTGAATTAGCTGCTGCAGATGCTGGATACGTTGCTGCTGCTGCTTTGTCATTTGCTGCTGCTGCTGTTGCTGCTTGCGCATCAACTGGTGCTGCTGCTGCAGCTGCTGCTTAGCAGCATCAGGAGGCAGCAGCTGCTCTTGTTTAAATTGAAAAGCAGATAGCAGCTGAATCCCACCTGCTTCTTCTACAATAGTTTTTGCTCTCTTAATGCCTTCTTTGCTTGCTGACTGTCGGACTTTATAATAAAGCTTCTCTGCTGCTGCTGCGCTGCGCTGCAGCGTCTTTACTTCACTGTCTGTCTCCATACAGCTAGCAACAGACTCTATGTAAAAATCTATCGGAGGAGGCGCACCAAGAGGGTATACACCACTAGATACGTCTCCTAATGCTAATGCTGCTGCTGTTGCTGCTGTTGTTGTTGTCGTTGCTGCTGTTGTTGTTGCTGCTGTTGCTGCTGCGGCTCTTTCGGTGGGTCCTGATGTTGCTGGTGAAGAGCCCGCCTCTGCTGCTGTTTCTCCTTCTTGCTGCTCTTGCTGCTGCTCTTGCTGCTGCTCTTGCTGCTGCTCTTGCTGCTGCTGCTGCTGCTGCTGCTGATTGCAAAGAGGTAGAGGGACAATGCGCCCACCAACAAATGCAGTCAAATCCAAAGCAAACGGCAAATCTTCTGGAGTTGTTATGGAGCAGACGATCCCACTCCTGCAGACCCCACAACTAATAAATTATATAAATAAAATAATAAAATCAATATAATAATATTGTAATAATAATAAAATAAACTTAACAATAAAATATAATAAAGGAATAAAAAGTTAAAATGATAAAATAAATACAAATTATAAAATAAACAAACAAAATAAAACGAAAAAGACTAAAAAGCAAACAAAAAACAAACAAACAAGTAAAACAAATAAAACAAATAAAACAAAACAAATAAAACAAACAAAACAAAACAAATAGAACAAACAAAGCAAACAAAAGCGGAGTCTAAGCGATTACAAACACTGCGTTAAAATATTTCATTCAGAGAACAAACCGAGCATCTTATTAGTTGGGGTGTATCCTAAACCCTAAACCCTAAACCCTAAACCCTAAACCCTAGCTCCTCTGGGCTAAAACGGCAGCTATTACATTTATGAAGAGTAGCAGTAGAGTGTAAAGGAGCAAGATAATGAAGAGAGAAGTTGGGGTGTATACGCACCTCCCTGCTCTTGCTGTGCGCCCAGCGCGGTGTATGTACAGCCGAGGAGATGCAGGAAAGTCGAAATTAATTACAACGGGGAGTCCAAATAAATCCAAACCACGGGCCGCCACATCCGTCACCAATAAAAACGGATAAATGCCTTCAAAACAAACCCCAAACCCTAAACCCTAAACCCTAAACCCTAAACCCTAAACCCTAAACCATAAATGCTAAAGGTGAGGCAACACAAGACGCATAACACTACTCCACATAACACAAACCCTAAACACTAAACCTGAAAATTCAAGTGCTACGAACGCCACCGATAAAATACCGGCTTTGTCAAACCCTAAACCCTAAACCCTAAACCCTAAACCCTAAACCCTAAGCAATGGGTCCTAGAAGCAGATTGCAGATACCGAACCAACGTAGATCCGACGTTAATTTTTGCTGCCCGCGTTTAGGCAGAACAAGGGTTTAGGGTTTAGGGTTTAGGGTTTAGGGTTTACGTTTCTTGAAGGCCGCTAGCTGAGCGTTTCTATCCCTCTGTTCCATCGCTCCATACACCACAGCACAATTAATTT